GGGGGGGCGGAGCTCGCCATCCGTCACCACTTTGTAGAATCAAGGGAGAAAACACGGGAATAGTCCGCTAAGACCAGGCCGCAGGAGTGCCTCTGGGCAGAAGGAGTCGGGGTGCAGACACCCACACTGCACTGAGAGCTGGGGGCCACTTGCCAAAACTCACCAGAGAATAAAACAGCAGCTGCATGAACGCCAAGGGCAGGGCAGTGTGCTCTCTGCAGCAGGTGAAGCTGACGGCAGACTTGCAAAGTCATCTTTTACCCCTTAGATTACATGGGTGTCTAAGCTAGACAAAAGTAACCAGACAGATTCTAAGAACTAACTACAGAGACCAGCAGGTGGCCTGGTGGCTGAGGGGCCGGACTCCCACTCGGCTGACTGCGGTTCCTGTCCAGACCTGGCAGCTTGCTTTCTTTCTCTTGTCTCTCTCTCTGGTGAGCACACATGCCCTAGAACAAATCCAAAGTAACAATAAGTAGATTTTGTTAAGAATGAACTACAAAGGGGCCTGTCCCATGCCCTGGTGGTTAAGGAAGCTGGACCCCACAGGGCAAACTACGCAGTGGGGTCGTGGTCCCAGCAGCTTGAAAACATGCCAGACACACACGCGTGCGTACCCCAAACCCCAGTGGGATGGAGAAAGGAGACAGGGCTGCAGCACGACCACACCCCACTGGGAGCACACTCTCGCTCGCTCGCTCTCCCCAACCCCTGGCAAGCACACATGCCCCTTGGCTTTATTTTTTTGCCCGGTGCTGGTCCCAGGCATGCTCCAGCAGGTCCCTGCGGCAGGCGGCCGGGGCAGCCTCCCTCCCTGCCAGCTCGGCTCTCGGGAACACCTCGGAGAAAGGCTCTTGTGGGCACAAGGAAGAGCAGAGGGCACACGGGCGGACGGCGGCTGCCTGCTCGGCCCCCACGCAGGGCGGCACGGGGCCTGGGGCCCAGGACACGAGGGCTCAAGGACACGTCAAGTGTTCACCTGCTGCCGGGACTCATGCCGGGTTTCTGGGGGAAAGTCTCACACACAATGTCTATCACAGCATCAGACGTTTCTCGGAGGAGGAGCAGCACAGCCGTCTACACTCTGACCTGAACACGGCTACACCCTCGAATCCATAAACATCTGGGTCTACGCAACGCTAACATGGCATTCGCAAACCCAAGCAGGGGCTTCCCGTGAGGCACTGAGGTGGCACCTGGCCTGCTGGGTCTGGTGCTCAGTGACACTGGGAACAGCTCGGTGGGTGCAAACACATGAATCGTAGCTGCGGGCGGGAGGAATATCAGGTGCATCTCTACGCCCCGAGGGCTCAACTCCTACACTTAAATCCCTCCCACTGGAACAGCCGGCTCCAGTTTCACCAGCGAGAGCGTGAGAACAGGTACTGCTCCCACGGCACTCCAGCCGCAGCCGCGGACGCCTGGCCCAGCACGGCCCGCCTCGGTGAGTACCGGCTACTGCTTTTCTAATTCTGGTTTTCTTTCCAAACTGCTTTCGCGGATACCTTAAATCGTCTAGGGGGATGAACTGCTCACCTGCTGTCTGCCTGGCTCTGGGCTCTGAGCATTACTTGGGACCCAGCAGGTGCACTGCTAGGGGCTCAGACCAGGACTACAGAACTTCCGCAGGCTGGCACTCACCCTGGGAATATGGACACATTTACTCGGACACCAAATCTTCATTTCTGCCATAAAATCCATAAAAGTTAAGCCAAAACACAAACTTAAATTACTGCTTAACTTACTTACTTTAAAAATAAACTGTAATAGATTTCAACATAAAAAGGCAAGGATCATACATGATTAGTTACTAATTTTAATTTCTAGTTTCTTTAAGTTTAAAAACTTTAAAATAAGCGGTTTCAACATGAGCTTACAAAAACACAAAATTTAACCAGAGGTTAAGCTCTGTCCACGCGCACGCGCACGCACACGCACACGCACACACGGGGGCGGGGGAGTCCTTACAGGTAACCTCTCATAGACCTGTGTGACAATTACTGATCAAATTTGGCTGATGGGCCAAAGCCAGACTTCGCTGAGGCAGTCTGTCCACACTGTTGCCCTGATCTCCAGCGTATTAACAAGGGCCTCACAGTGGCATGGCTGGTTTACAGGGTAAGCGAGGCAGGACAGCTGGGCCCCGGCTGGCGGCTGGCGACTGGCGACTGGCGAGCTGTGGGGCTGCAAGCTGCTGCGTCCCCAGCAGGAGCTGCCGTCGGTAACTCGAGGGCTCCTGTGGAAACGAGAGCCCTGCCCGTCTCTCTGGGTGCACTTCCGAATCCTAGCCCAGAAGACCGTCCTTTTGCCTAGGTCATGCTTGTCCTAAGTTTATCCTTCATTTTCAAGAACCGAAAGTCTGGGAGGGAGTGGCAGTCAGTCACTGGAAAAGCTCAATCGGAGCAAAACTCACAGATCTTGTTCTTGCGACACCCGGCAGGTAGGCGACAATGGCGTGTCCTTGAGTTATGCAATAACGCCACATCACAATATTGTAATTATAGCATGCCCTTCACAGCGTGCCGGCTGAGGAGGCTCCCGCCCGCAGCCGCAGGAGCCCTACAGTACGCCTTCGGCTCACAGCTCACGTGCGCGGTGGGCACGGCTACGGGCCTGTCACAGACGTGGGCTATACAGTTAAGCTGTAATTATCCCCCTTGTGTCCTACCAGAGTTCTTTAAACAAACAAAACCTCTTGTCAGTTTCTCAAAGTGCAAGCCCCTTAGACCTTTTTAAACGTGCCAGCCATTCCGTATTATCTACCTCGCAACTGCAGTAACTGCCCAAACCGGGAACCCCTTGGAAGACAGCATCAGCAGCCTAGCACTTGAGAGACAGGACAGACAGACCCAGTGGCCAGCTGAAGCCACCGGTGCCCCTGCTGTGGGCACTTCCTCCAGGTTCCAAGGAGTGCACCTGGGGCAGGGAGCAGCGACGCCAGTGCTCCCAGAGGCAAAGGACATACTCGGCTGCGGCTGCGGGGGGCCTAGGCTGCGGGGGAGGGGAGCGCCTAAGCTGTGGGGGGGAG